TGAGGTGTCCTTCTTTTAAGAAGTATTCCAAACTATCAACATTAGCAACCAAGTACTCTCCCCTCCAAACATGCCCGGCCTGAATGTTGTACCCTAAGAACACACCCCTCTTGGCATTGGGGGCAAACTTTCCTCTCTTTGGTTCGTACTTTCCTTCCCAAAAGAATAGGAGGCATCCAAAGGGAAGTTGCCTACCAAGAAAACCGTTGTCAAAACGAAGTGTCCATGGCGGGTCATTACCATTCAATTGTTTGACAATGTTGATGGCCATCGCATGATGTTTGGAGGCATAAGGCCACAATGTCAACGGCATGTTGGCCTGGAGGAGGTTGGAGCGCGCCCCTTCCAAAATGGTACGGACCTCTCGCTCAACAACCGCCTTGGTTGAATGTTGATATTCAACAGAAGTTTGGTGTTTAAAACCGAGCTCTTCGATGGCATCCAGCATTTCTGGAGCGTTGTCAGTGTACACTATACCAACAATGTCTGAAGTTTGCTTGAAGGCCCTCGCAATGGAATCGGCCGTTTTGTTCTCTGAAGGATAAACACAGCGGTATTGAGTATACACATCCTTGATCACCAACATCGAGGTTTGGCCTTCTATCCCCTCTTCAATGTCCTTGGGGATCACGTGGTCACAAACAATGTGGTCTCCAAAACCACGGGCCAACACATGTTGTGATCCGCCTACGCTTCTACCGTAGGGTGCAAGCATCTTAGCTTCGCTACAAATATCGCAGTAGGGGTTCTTTGGTCGATGAGTAATTCTGGTGCGCCCCTGATTTTGCTTCTTTGCGAAGTTGCTCTTCGGTCTTTTCCCCTGCTACGGGAACATCTTCAAAATCAAAAGAGACTTCAACCTCTGGGTCACTCTCTTCTTCATCCTCCTGTCCCTCATCGGCATTGGCAGCTACGCCAGCCTCTTCTTCGTCTTCCTGTTCATTCTCGGGTTCAGACTCGCGGCTGGCCATGGCAAAGCCCTGGTCGATGGTGAACTGGTGGATGGAGTCGAGCACCTTAGTGAGTCTCATCCTGAGTGACTCGGGGATTGAGAATGGGGTGCAAGTCTCATCAATGTATGGAACCCTGCCCTGCAATTTAAATTTCACGCATTTCCCATCAGGTCGGAGGAATATTGGGGTAGTGTCCTTTCCCCAACCAAAATCATATCCCTGTTCTAAGCATCTCAAACCGATTGAGAGTGCAGAGGGAGTGCTTTGAAGAATATAGGGATTGAAGGATTCACATAACCCCGGGAGTATCACCTCAACTACATCTTCAGCTGTAATTGGTCCATTAGCCGTAGTGAGGGATATTGGCTCATTGGATTTGAAGATCTTAGTGGCTCGGCTGACTGTCTTTGAGTCCTTGCCTACGATGTCCTGATCAGTCCCGGTATCGCCCAGCCACTTCTCCATTCCAACAGTGCTAGGCATCGCTGTTAAGCGAGCACAGGAAGGTACCTGTTCACCGATGACCGTTCTACACTTTGTGCAGCACAAATCATCGGGGCCTTCTGGGGAATGTTCACAAAGGAAATCGCACGCAGGCTCCTCGGTATCCATCGAATCGAGCGTCTGCCTAAGCGACTCCGCTGCCAAAATGGCGTCCTTAGTGTCACACTCGCGGGACTTTGGACATTCCTCAGTGGTCCGGAACAGGTTCCGCCGTTTGCTCTTATTTACTACATGCCGGTACATTTCCTTCCAAACCGGAAAGGTATGTACCTCAGGCTTGAATTCAAAACGAATTCGCTTGTCTTGCACAACACGGAAAATCGACTTCCCAGTCCAGTCAAACCCTTGTTTCGCGTTTGGGTGTTTCTTCCAATCTCCCTTCAGAGTCCTACTCTTCCCCTTTGAGTCTTTGACCACCATGGTAAACCGGTTTTCCAACCTAGACGACTCCACTGGACAGGATTTACGTGTTGGGAGAAACAACCTGTTCCTTGGCTTTAAAAGGTGCCTTATCAACTCGGCGCCGTCATTGGAGAATTCCCAGTAGTCTTTACTCTTGTGGTTCCGAGTAGCGGTTGCTGCTAAGCAAGACATTGCGAAACCTGTTTGAATACATGGACTGGCCTTTGGGCTTTTCTCTTTCTTTTCCCGTTTGCTCTCTTCTTGTCCTTTTTGTCCTTCTTGGATTTCTTGTCTTTAGACCTTTTAGCCGCGGGAGATGGACTTCTTCTGCGCGGGGCCGGTGTCGCGGTTTCACCATGTTTAAATGGACACTTTTCACCCCTCTTGCAGTGGCCCTTGGCAAAGAACCTACATGGTTTCTCAGATTTCTTGCCTCTGCTTGAGCTTCTGGATGAGTTCCTCGAACTATTGCGGGAGGACATTCTTGACGAGCTTCGTGAACGGCTTGACCTAAAAGAGGATCGACCACTCGAACTTGCGCTTCGCGATCGTGATGACTCCCGGCTAAGGGAGCGGGAACGGGTATTAGAGTCGTGCGAGTACTTGCATTTGCTTCCGTACTTGCATTTGCCGGTTTTAGCGAACTCATAGCATTGATTGCTCCCGTCACCCTTTGCGCTCCTCTTGCCATAACTTGGGCTTCGCGTGCGCTTGTCGTGTGGCGCCGGATTCGCGTACTTGGCAGCATGCGATTGTGAGATCTTCTCACGATTGGTCCTTAGCCTTTCACGGTCAAGGTATCGTCGAACAGAATTAATGAGGAATTCATAACTTCTGTCACTACTCCCTTCCGCTGCCCGTTCGTAAACATCCAGGTCAAATCTGAGTTTACGGGACTTCCTGACCTCTCTATAGAACAAGTCTTTTAGGGTTGCCGGGTCAGGAACATGACTCATTCCGGTCAACACACTCTCCCATTTCCTTAGAAAGGATTTCAAGTCATCGCTGTCAAGCGAGATCTTCAGGAGGTCTTCCGTACCATATATACCCGCTTCTTCACTGGTCTTGAAGTGGACTTCAAACATGAGCAAAACCTGACGACCACGAACAATCCTACCCTGCTGTGCCTCAGATTCCTTATAATTTAGGATTTGCTGAGACAGTTCGCCTTTGGCAACCTTAGTCAAAGCAGCAAGGAGTTTCGTATCTAAGGTCCGAAACTTGCCTGGCTCAGCGAGTTCGGAACAAAGCTTTGCTTTGTCCTCCCGAACGGCGTACACCTCAAGCACCCATGCGAACGCAGCATCTGGGTCATCGGACGCGGACCGTATCGCTTCGCGAACAGCGGCCCTCCAAGTGCGGTACCTATCAGGACTCGGGAATTCAGGGAGATCTATCTTATCGGCCTCTTTTGCCTTGGGTTTATCGGAATCTTTGCTTTTAGCGCCCTTAAACCCCTCTAGCAATGCCCTTTTGATGATTTCCCCTAAATCCTGATCTTGTGGGGTTCTTACCTGAGATGCCGGCCCTTCATCCTTGCGATCATCCTTTTTCTGTGCTGCTTCCTGGTTAAAGGAGCTTTTGTACAGTGGATCATCGCTGAAGTTGTACAGTGCCGACTTCATCTTGTAATCCATCCACGGATCAGGTTGTTTGAACTGTTGCCCATCAGTTGAGGCTGTTGCTTGTTCATTTGCCTTCGCCCCTGTCCCAGAGAACATTGAAGGAAATCCTGTGTCGCGATTTGTTGCAGAAGCATCCATCGCTGTCTTCATAGGAATTCCGGCTGGGTCTGTGGTCGAACCTTCTAAGGTTGCAGGAACTGTACCTTCTGTACGAAGAGGTTCAAAGGAACAAGGTTGACCAACGGGATGAACATTCGGTTGAACAGGAGGTGGAGGTTGTTCTGGTTGCTGTGGCCCTGGTTTAACTGGGCTAGCGGCCTGAACTTTGCGCTCGGCTTCCTTGCGCTCCTCCTCCTTGTCCGACAAGGCCTGAACAACACGTCTAAGTTCATCCATTTCACCCTTCAATGCTACATTGTCCTTGCGGAGTTCACTGATTGTTTCCTCCTGGGCTTCGCGGTCAACCGCATGTTGCGACTTAGTCGCCTCCATTTCACCAAGCAATGATTTAATCTTTGCTTGCGCAATTGCCAATGAACTGGATAACTCCTCACGCTTGAAGTCAAGGTCTATAGCAACACGGGCTTCCTCAGCTGAATTGAATCGAGCTTTATCTGTTGCCTCTATTGCTGCCTTCAACTTTGCTTCTTGTTGTTGCGTGTATTGCTGATGTTCAGTTCGCATCCTCTCGACAAAAGCGTTGGTTTCCTCCTCCGAGGTACCCTTTTCCTGCTGAATCCCATTATTGGCAGACGTGGCCTGGGCTAGTCTTTGCTGAAAGTGCTCACGTTGTTCTTCAAGTGTGGTTTGCAGTCTTCTGATCGCCAAATTATCTTGATGTTGAGCCAACTGTTGCACATTGTGTTCTTGTAGTTGAGCTCTTCGCTGCAAATTCAGCCTGTGCGACAGCCCTTTCATGTCGCTGAACTGCGTCCACACTATTGGGCACACTCGGAATAATGTCAAAGCCATTTCCGTACGAGTTCGGTGCGGTGTCGTCATCCATCGGGTCCATAGCTCTAAACTTGCTAGCCTACGGCTGATAACCTGTATTTTACAGGATCAGCTCTAACTTCCCTAGCTATCTAGCTAACCCTGCCTAGCCGTTAAGCGGGCTATTTTACTCTACCTTGAGAGTCCACGCTACGGGGTCCATAGGGGTGAGAGGAATTTCAACACTTTTGAATGAGAAAAAGAGAACCTGTTCCACTGGGACCACAAAATCCAAGCTTCAGGCTTCAAGGCCATGGGGACCGCCAATCCAATGTTCATGGCTGGCGAGTCACAAGAATCAGGAAGTGCTCTTGAATTGGGCTTTTGGCCTCTGAGCCTCCCACTGTGAAGCTCTATGAACATAGGTCCCACAGGTCCGACACTGGACCATGCCCTTTCATGCCAAACTCCACATTCACTGCATGTTACTGGTATGAGGCAAATCGAAGGAATAATCGAATAATCTGTGAAAATTGACCGTAACACTTGCTGTTGCAAAGATAAAAAATTGAAATCTATTGTATTGACTGTTGAACCTGCACAGGATTCGCTTGGAAGACGTCTTTTCTCCACGCGCTTCTTCCGCGTCAGATCGAATGAAAGAAGTAGATGCGGTACGTCATGAAGATGATGGCCTCAACCAAATCCCCTTCCTCCACGCCCCCACCTGATGGCTGGGTGAGACCACTCTGGTTGATGTAACTGGTACACCTGGTACTATCTTTCACATCGGTGGCCTCTCCCAATTGGAAAAGCTGGTGGTTTTGTCTCCCTCGGTCCCTTGCTACAGTGTCACGAGCTCTTAGACTCTGTTAGACATGCGGACATCTACAAATGAAGCACTTGGACAAACGTCAATGGACGCTGTTGCTTGGGGATCCGACTCATGCAGCGGACATGCTTGTGACTCATGCAGCCAATACGAGGAATTCCGAATATTTTGCTGGAAATACACTGAAAATCAAGCGTGTGCATGTCTGCGACCTGGGATGGCAAGCATCGCATCGAAATATTAAAGCAATGTGGGTGCACAAACATGCACGATGTTCAAACAGGTGGGAGTGCCACGCAAACATTGCTTATATTTGCTCGCCGAGCTTCATGTGCGCAGCAGAAGAGGCCCAAGACCTTCCACTTCAATGAGGGCGCCTGCCAAACGCCGCGCTGGACATGAAAGCACATGTGTGGGATTTGCTCCTAAGGTTTGTGTGTGTGTGTGCCAGTGGTCATTGAAAATTCTTCCCTGATCTTCCCTGCCGCACCAAGGACTTCCACTTCGGAACTAACAAAATGAATCTGTGCCTACTCTTGCAATCTCTTGCATGATTTCAGTCTCGCCATGTTCCCTTGGTATCCTTTGCCTCCACAGCCAAGTCTGTTGACAGTGTGCCATAGATAAAGGCAAGGGACGTGACTAAACCCACACACACGGCCAACCAGCGAAGGAATCCCATCCTCAACACCAGGTTGCAAATAACAGCAGCTCTGGCTCCCAATGAGAAAACCACACGTTCCTAGCATTAAAATCTAGGTAATGTTGCTATTGCAAAGGTGCTCAGGTACTATACTGTAGACTCTTGATTAATAGCCCCAGCCATTTGAATTGAAAGTCCTCTTCATATGGGGGGTGTATTAATCAAGAGTCTACATTAGTTAAAATATATTAGAATACGTTATAATCCTGACCACGTCTTCGGCGATTCCTTGCTGCGGCAATCTGAGGAAACGGCGGCACCAGGCAAATCACAGACATTGGTATGAGCGGCGTGAGCGAATAGCCGAACACACAAATCACCTTCCCAGGCCGCATGCCAATCAAGAGCTGCTAGGAACAAGGACGCTACTAGGGGCTATGGTCCGGGCCTGTTTGAAGTTAATGCAATCCACCGACTGGCCCGAGCAATAGAGGCCCAAGCGGGCAGCCAGCGGCACAGCGACAAGTAGGCCATAGATCATGCTGGCGGCCTTGTGCATGGTTTCCACTGGCCAATTTGGGGAACCATCCAAACACTCAAATTGCTTTTCAAATTGTGACGAAATGAACTCAATCCCATCCTCTGAAACGCCAAGACCTTCCAGACTCCCATCACCTCCCCTCCGACATCGGGCACGCGAGATGGGACATCCGGCCACACTGACCAGCGAGAAGTCTGACTTGAAGAGCTGCTCATCCTGACTCATCGAGCGGGTCGAGCTACTCGTGCATCGAGCGGCGAGGCCCAGCGCGGCCCGGCGCGGTAGGTCCTCCAACTCCAGAAGCCTCGCAAAGTTGCCAGTGGCCTGACAGCCGAAGTCTGCATGTAACCAGCCCGAAGCTGTTGGACGTCACATACATAGTTATCATGCTTCAAGCAAGTGACGTCTGCTGTATATACAACATAACTCTGTACCAAATCCATTTAAGGCGAGTTCCGCAAGAAAAAGGACGGCTGTAGTGGCCACCCAGAAAGGCCCATAGAAGTCAGGCCTCGCCAGTGTGCACAGTGCTAATAAATGGGCTTTAGAGAGAGAGAGAGAGGGAATAAATGTACTGTATATGATATGATATGTGTATCACTGTATCACTAAGAAACTTCAAAAGCATAGACTTTGCATAACTACCCATGCAGGCGGCATGTCACGAACCGATAAGTAGTCACCATTGTTCATTTCTCATTCTTAGTCTTAGGAGTTCTTGGCTAGTTCCCTTGAACTGTCACTCTGACCATTGACCAGGTACATTTTTCCTCTCTTGAATGGGTCTGTCAATCCCCTGCCAGTTCTCTTCACAACACCACCATGGTTAAAACACGAGGCCAGCCTTGTGCGGAAGTCATTGGCCGCGTCCTCTTGCCCCTGAATATGTAGTAGTTGGAAAGTACATTGAAAAAAGCACACCAAAAAATCAAATTTACAAGGAAGTGAGAGCCAGTTCTGCAGCAGCATGTCACCTTTAGACAAAACTGAGACCGCTGCCTGGAAGGGTACCAAAGCAAGCTTCAGCCGCTTGAGGACATCTTCTGAACCTAATGGCGTAAGCCTGTCAGTCGACCTGTTTGGCTGTCTGATAAACTTGCTGTTGGTTCATGGCCAGCAAGACCGGTGAAGTAGACATGAAAACCCAAAATATCATACTCCCAAGTTGTGAAATCCCCTGTATCTGAATCTGAAGATAGAATAGATGCACCTATTAAACATGAGAAGCAACGTGGAATCACGATTCAATTGCTGGTCAACAACTACCTTTGGGGCCCTGGCTAACATCAAACAACTGCTGCCCGTAGGCAAGCATAGAGCCTGTCCCATGTGTCGCTCAGTTCAGCGTATGCTTGAAGCGTCAAGTATATCAGCAAACAAAATCCAATACAAAAGATGCAAAAACTTGGGACAAAGTAAAGTATTGAGGCGTCGAAGTGTATCGAGGATGAAGCTTGGTAATCCCATGCAATCCATGTGCCACGCCTGCCCATCCCTGTACTCCAGCTGCCCCTTCCTGCACATGTCGGTTTCACACACGGGAAACACTGGACTCCACCTATGTGGTTCCCTGATCGTCCAATCTGGCGATAGTCTGGGTGCTGAAGTATGCAGGCTTCCGCAACGCCAAACCAAGCGAATCATGGTTCTTTTCAGCAAGCACCTCCACTTCCTAGCGTTGCACCACTTCCAAGTGACCGTTCCCAGCTGCCGAGTGCAAAAGCTGTCGTGCCATCTCGTATTGTAGCATTCATTTCAGCACCTGCTTTGTTTGGGCTTCTTACTTATCACATGTCACGGTCCAGTAAGGGCAAACGCCACGCAGGTTGGCTGCACAGAGCTCTTGTCGTAAGAGCTGCTGGCACTGGCTTGACTTCTCTATATATAGCAAGTGCTGTCAGCAATTACTTGTCATCAGTGCTGGTAGCAACTGCGACTGCTACCACCAAAGAAACGCCGTTCGTGAAGGAAAGCCGTTCGTGATTGTGGAGCAAAAGTCCATGCAGGAACGTTTCACATCTGTTACACAGTGTCCTCTCAGGAATGTCGCTCAAATGACCATGGTCAGGCCTCTGAGCCAGCTGCAGCAGAAGCAAGCATACCTGGGCGAGTCAATCCAGCGGACATCCCAGCTTTGTAACAGCATGCCTTTGAAAGTGAGAGTTTGCTTTTGGCAGGTTGGAGGCCATCGCTCTTAGGTTAGAAACCAGCCATCGCTCTTAGGTTGGAGGCCATCGCTATTAGGTTGGAGGCCATCGCTCTTGGGCAATCAAAGAGATACAAAAAGGGACTGCTCGTAGCTCCAACTTGGTTTCAGCCATGCATCCAAGCTGCTGCCAAACCCAAGGAAGGAGCCCTGGCTTTGGGGACCTGTAGCTGGCTTTGTCTTCTCCCTTTGGGGGAAGGGGGTCTGAAATGGGTTGCTGGGAGTGAAAACAAGGTGAAGACTCGTACCACTCTTTAGACTCGTACAGGAGCCTGGTGTCGGGATACCTCAAAGGCGTATGTTCTTTTGTTGCTGGACCACAAAGAATTTAGACCAAACACCCTCGGCGTATGTTCATGTGTTCTACTGAAAAGCTGCACGAGGTGGCAGACAATACCCCTCACGCCTCAAAACAAACTGGAAGACTCCCATGATTGCGCCTGGTGGAGGGCCCCCACCAGCACTGTCCATAACACCACGAGGAGCTTCCCCTCGGAGAGATCCACATATTTTGAGGTTGAACATCAACGTTGTGAGACTTCAAGCTGCATATATACTCAAGAGGAATCAAGACTGGAGGAGACAGGCAATGCTTTGTACTCGGAGCAAATTCTAAGCTATTCTGTTGAAGATCCCCATTGCTAGCAAATAGTTACACTGCAGCAAGTAAGAGGTCTAGAGGAAACATCGAAACCTGGTAAAGGTAAAAAGAAACAACATCGGCTAAACGACTGCTCTTAGCTTTCAGCGTCAACCAGAATTTTCAAACTGGTTCTCCATAGTACTTTACGGTACTTGTCTCAGGTTCCAGGCTAAGGGAGACGGTATCTGCCTGGCATTCTTCGATTCGCGTGTGCAAAAAGGCTAGAGCATGTCAAAATATCGGGATGTCATTTGGGCATGTTCGTAAGTTCTGTTCAAATCCTGTCTTTGGGCGTCCTCAACTGTGAAAGTGTCTTTTTTCTAAGGAACATTGCAGTTCAATGGCGAATGCAGCGTGAACCTTCAATGTGCTCCCGGAAATCTCTCACGGTATCCCATACTTGTCTACCACACATGTCATGCACATCTTCTGTGTATCAACTCTTCAAACACGGTTGCTGAAGGACGGATGCCATTGGGCCTTCAATGTCTGTCTTCGGCCCTCTTTTTCCCTCTTCCTCACCCTCTCCCAATTCGCGTGCCTCTGTGGCCAGCTTTCCACCCCGCGCCTCGCGCGATTTTCTTGCATCACATGATATGTGGAGCAGTTCATCCAGTGATACTTAGGTCGGATGCGGAGCGAGACCGCACATGTGATTCGAAGCCTGCAGTTGGAAAGTCAACACACAACCTAAAGATTGTATGTATATATATATGTGTATACCTGTATACCTGTAAGGATTGAGAAGTCAATAATGTATTATTGTAAAGTCGAAGCTGCACTTACTTTTTCGTAAAAAACACGGGAAGACAGAAGGCAAAGATATGCAAAGTTTCAAGTTGAGGCTCGATCTAAGCCCCATCCACTGTGACTGGTCATGGGATAGACTTGGATCACACGCTCTGACATTTGCAATTCTAGGGGATGCCCTTTTCCTTCGGCCTAGGGCCCTTTTCACGCTTAAAAGGGCACCCCGAACATTATCCTTAAACTGTGGTACCTATACCAAGGACTACTCCGTTCAACCTTTCTTCTTTAAAAGCTTGGTCAAGCACCGTGACAGCAGTCAGTGATTTGAAGTCGGCTACTCGAACAATGAAAGTCCAGCGCTCCTTTCGCTTCCTATCATTCTGAAAACAGTGCGGTGCGCTTTAATAGTCTCCTGAGCACTTTGTGATGCTAATGATGCGCTACTCAACATCATTTGCATCACTCGCATCACTAAGACCCTAAAAAACATACACGTTCACCATCTTTTGGGCGCCTCTTTTTCCCAAGAGCGTCTGCGAAGGGTTCTTCGTAAAAAAACATCTGCAGAACGACGTATCATCTTCACATCTTCACCTCTGCACATCCACATTCTCACCTATATCTCTGCTCATGTTCACATCTGCACATCTACATCTCTGCTCATCTTCATCTTCACATATCTACATCTCTGCTCATGTTCACATCTGCACATCTACATCTCTGCTCATCTTCACATCCTCACATCTACAGCTCACATCTTCACCTCTCGCTCTTCTTAACTTTCTCTCTTAAGGCCGGGGGCAGTGCCGCCGGACCGCCACGAAATGCAACCCTCTGCGGAGATCGTGCGTGTTGGGCGCGCGAAATGCGGGCGAGAGTGCGATTTGTCCCGGTCCGGCGCAACCCTCTGCGGAGATCGTGCGTGTCGAGTGCGCGAAACGCAGGCGAGGTTTTGTCCGGCGCAACCCTCTGCGGAGATCGTGCGCGTCGAGTGCGCGAAATGCAGGCGAGAGTGCGATTTGTCCCGGTCCGGCGCAACCCTCTGCGGAGATCGCGCGCGTCGAGTCCGCGAAATGCAAGCGAGAGTGCGATTTGGTTTTGTCCGGCGCAACCCTCTGCGGAGATCGTGCGTGTCGAGCGCGGGAAACGCAGGCGAGGTTTTGTCCGGCGCAGCCCTCTGCGGAGATCGTGCGCGTCGAGTGCGCGAAATGCAGACGAGAGTGCGATTTGACCCGCTCCGGCGCAACCCTCTGCGGAGATCGCGCGCGTCGAGTGCGCGAAATGCAGGCGAGAGTGCGATTTGCCCCGGTCCGGCGCAACCCTCTGCGGAGATCGTGCGCGTCGAGTGCATGCAGGCGAGAGTGCGATTGGGGAGCTGGAAGATGAGAACTGGCGCCTTTCTAGTACAACTCTAGTACGCGGAGTATCTGGGGAGCTGGAAGATGAGAACTGGCGACTTTGTAGTATAACTTTAGTACGCGGAGCAATCTGGAGCTGGAAGCTGAGAACTGGCGACTTTGTAGTACAACTTTAGTACGCGGAGCATCTGTGGAGCTGGAAGCTGAGAACTGGCGACTTTGTAGTACAACTTTAGTGCGCGGAGCAATCTGTGGAGCTGGAAGCTGAGAACTGGCGACTTTCTTGTACAACTTTAGTACGCGGAGCAATCTGTGGAGCTGGAAGCTGAGAACTGGCGACTTTGTAGTACAACTAGTACAACTGTAGTACGCGGAGCAAGCTGTGGAGCTGGAAGCTGAGAACTGACGACTTTGTAGTACAACTTTAAGAGCTGGAAGATGAGAACTGGCGACTTTCTAGTACAACTTTAGTACGCGGAGTATCTGGGGAGCTGGAAGATGAGAACTGGCGACTTTCTTGTACAACTTTAGTACGCGGAGCAAGCTGTGGAGTTGGAAGCTGAGAACTGACGACTTTGTAGTACAACTTGAGTACGCGGAGTATCTGGGGAGCTGGAAGATGAGAACTGGCGACTTTCTAGTACAACTTTAGTACGCGGAGTATCTGGGGAGCTGGAAGATGAGAACTGGCGACTTTGTAGTACAACTATAGTACGCGGAGCAAGCTGTGGAGCTGGCAGCTGATAACTGAGGACTTTGTAGTACAACTTGAGTACGCGGATGAGTCATCTCTCGTGGCTGCGTCATCTCTCGCGGCTGCTCTCGCGCCCCTGCAGCTGAGTCATGTCTCCCGACCACCCGGCTCTCTTGAGAGGTTGACAAATTTTAGCTACTTTGCTTACTCATAAGTGGCTGCCACAAAAGAGTCATCGTGACGTTAGTATGTGTGTACTTCACCTTCGTGACAAACGATGTTCGCTTGGAATACACGAGTCGCTTGTCATGATCGTGACGTCGTTTACTCTCAGGTCGCCCTGTTCGTGGAAACTTCAGTGTGAAATGTACGTTCTTCAGTTCTAGTTGAACCTCTTCAGCGTTGTACTTGCGCGACTAAGGTTGACGTTGCATCGACGCATATACGTGAGCGTGAGTGAGAGTGAAGGTGGGCGCGAGTGAGTGTGGGTGACAGTGAGAGTCAGTGAGTGTGAGTGAGAGTGAGTGTGGGTTAGTGAGTGTGGGTGAGAGTGAGAGTGTGAGGGAGTGCGAGTGTGAAAGTGAAAGTGGGAGAGTGAGAGTGGGAGTGAGAGAGTGAGCATCTGAGAGCTGCGCCGGCCACGAAATCTGCACTTCGAGGTTCACCAAGCACTGTGCCTGTCACGAAATCTGCACTTGGAGGTTCACAAAGTGCTGCGCCTGCCACGAAATCTGCACTTCGAGGTTCACCAAATGCTGTGCCTGCCACGAAATCTGCACACAAAGTGCTGTGCCTGCCAAGAAATCTGCACTTCGAGGTTCACCAAGTGCTGTGCCTGCCACGAAAGCTGCACATCGAGGTTCACCAAGCGCTGTACCTGCCACGAAATCTGCACTTCGAGAATCTGCACATCGAGGGTCACAGGGTGCTGTGCCTGCCACAAAATCTGCAAACGAGCCACATGTCCAAAAGTCACGATTCACTGCACCTGTCACGAAATCTGAGCTCCTCGACGATCACCGCCATGCCCAAAGTGCTGCGCCTGCCACGAAAACTGCACTTCGAAGTAAAACAGCTCCGATCCCTTGCACCTGTCACGAAAAGTCGACTTTGAAGCACCACAACACGAGGTTCCCTTGCGCCTGCCACGAAAAGTGACCACCATGTACGAAAATGCGCACGGCACCACAACGAGAGCGCAGTCGCTAGAAGCACCCGCCCGGGGCACCCAGACTTTGCGAGCCTGCGCAGTCGATAAAAGCAACGAATTAGCCGGACACGGCCGCGCGGGACAGCGATCTAAGCACAGCTGCTTTTCCACTACCGTAAGAACCCCTAGTGTGTCCACACTGTTTGGGGAATATATATATATATGCTATTAGTTGTTAATCATTGACCACATAAGACAAGAAAAATAAGAAAGGCTATTGAAGCTGTGGAAAACAGCTGCCCATGCGCTCCGTGACTCATGTCACGCCTACTCTTCAGTCTGTACAGTCGGCCGACGAAGCTTCGCCTCCTCCCCACTCAGCGGTACCATCTGAGCAGTGCCTCAGAGGCACCGTGAATCCGGAGGAACGGTTGGCAGGTGCATGAATCTCAGGCTGAAAGAACGGTTGCATCAAATGCGTGACATGACTCATGTAAAAACGGATGCTCAGTGAACCAACCGGTGCTAACTTGGGTCAACTGAGCCAACTGGCCTGTTGCCCTCTCCTGCAAGTCCAGATCCGACACAGTGGGGCGATACCTGGTAGGTCAAGCAAAAATACATGTCGAGTCGTCTGAGTCATAAGTAAAAACCAAGACCGTACGGCAGACTCACTGCGCACACTTCCGAGCTCTGGCTGTGAAACGACCCAGACTCCGGACCTTCGGACCTCGTGGAGACGGGTCGACGCTAAAGCGTCGGTCCGTCGGGTGTAAGACCCCGATCAATGGCGTTGGATGTCGTCAAAAGGGTGTGAAATCCGGTGAATCTACAAGAAATACATTTAAACAAAGGACGCTACGAGCGGGGCTCCTGGCATCGCTACTAGGAGCAAGGACGCTACTAGGAGCAAAGGGCATCGCTACATATCGCTAATAGGAGCAAGAAATACATTTATACAAATTTATACCAAGTGAGAGCTCAAACTCCAACGAGAACGCTAATAGGGGCTCCTGGCTTTACTACTAGGAGCAAGGACGCTCCAACGTGGGATCTTCCGTGAACTCCATGGGGATCGATGCTATGCTACGAATGAGGTAATGACACCACACACTGAGCTCTCCTGCCAATCAGGTTTCTCCCACCTCAAGGGACACGAAACACTGAGGATGGGCGTCTTTTCCAGCAACTGCGTATGTCAGAGGCAGAATAACGTCCAGTGATACCAAGAAGTTCTCTTTTGCCCAAGACACCCATTGGGCCCATGGGTGGCACTTAAAACTTAGTGAGACTGCTGACCATGACTAAGGTCATGGAATAGAAACGAAAAGAAGAAGGTCTCTTCTGAGCCACACACTGGGTCTTGTTTGCAACCGAGTTGTGATAGTACCTCATTTGGCATTAGATCTGCCTCATGAGAACAAGATTTCTTGGAGGCTTTGGCCCAGCTCCAGAACCAAAGTTACCAAGCGGGATCTCGCTCTCCCAATTGTTGAAACTGCCAAATCAACGGGAGTGGTCATCCTGTGGGTATGCTCAAAGACTAACAACTCTGATCGCCCGAACAATGGAGGCCGTCCCATGTTTCTGGCCATGCACCAAAACCTCTCACAACACCCTGAGCACAACAGGGGACACCAGCCTGTGACACCAGCCGTCATTCAGATCAAACAGCTGGACAAGCCGACAAACCCTGGTTTCCCAACCGACGTCTTCCAAACACTGGCAACAATGGTGGTGGGCACTCCTTGCCATCATCTGTAGTGTACCTCCACATGAGTGTCCCAAGATGTGTGGGAAAAACACAGTGTCTCTTGAATGAACTGGCTCATTTTGGTCATACCTGAGAAGGCAATCAATCCTGCAAATGGTGCCGTTTGTTTTCAGATGGTCCAGTCCTGCTAGTCCAATGCGATTTCCATTGCTGCGAGGTTAACTGCGAAGTCGAACCACTGGGCATAGTCTTTTAAGAGTGGAACCACAACGTTCCGGTGACTGACATCTCCGATTCATTCAACTGTACCAAGTATCCTCATTAGGTTGGAGGCCATCGCTCTTAGATTCCTTATACTATTAGGTTGGAGGCCATGACTAGTTCCTTCGGTACCGCACCTTTGCCCCCAAGCTCAGAACATCGCCCTCGCGTCGCAGAAAGCATAGCATTGGCGCAGCACATGAACCGATCGTTCTTAGAAGCGAAGCATACCACTGTCGCAGCGCGTGAAGCAATTGTTCTTACCGCAGGAAGGATAGTCCTGGCGTAGCGCGTCAACTGATTGTGGTTACCTCCCCCACCAGCCCACTCACCCCGAATCACCCCACATAATTACCCGACACATAGAGTTACCTGCTGAGAGAACACCCACGATCTCCTGTAAATACCACGGAAAATGCGTTTGGCCATCGCATGAGGCAAAACGGACGGTCCCCTGTAAGTAAATACATATGTATATAAATATATAATGTGTCAAAGGGCCTTTGTGTCGCCATACCACTGGGATTTGCTACCCAGCGTGCGACAAGGGTACCGGAAGGAACAACAATGATCGAATAAAGCATGAAAAGTAAGTCTAAAAAAACAAATAACAATAATAAACAAATAAATATATAGATTAAACAAATATATATATATAATATATAATATATATGGATTAAACGAATAACAATAACAATAATAGTATATAATAATAAGATAATGATAAATAGAAAAGTTGAACCACTGGGAAAAGGATGGAAAGGAAAGCATCGCATCTCGCTGTCTCACTGGCGCACTTGGTCCAGTTCGGAGGCAGCGCCATTTCTTTGCCGAACAGCTCACTCGAATTGAAGTTGGGAAAGCAGACAGGAGCGTAAGTTGTGGGTCTCATGGATACTCATTGGAAGCAAGTGTGATCTTCTGTGAGTTCCCTGGCTGCCACATTCTAGAGTTAGTACTGATCAAAGAAGTTGTGTTTCTTTTCAAGTCGGACGGGCAAATGTCCTTTGAGAAATGGTGGGTCTTCTATTTGTTATGTAGGTTCTCGTATTACACTGCAGTCCTCAGATATCTTGGTTTGACTCAAGCTGGAGCCATTTAGTAGTAGGCATACGGCATAAATAAGTGCCCGCGAGTTTAATCCAAATAATCTACTGTATATGACGTGAAGCAAACCCTGTACACTGGTGCTGAAAAATCCTCACACCTCTTTGGCTTGACTCGGCTTGACATGCAGGCAACCGTTGGAGCCGAATTCAGTGCGGGCAGCTCCGCGAAACGTGCCATTGGCCATATGCCCTTCGGCATGGCATTTTCAAGGAAGTCCCCGACCGGGGCTTCTAAATGTACCAAAGCAGTTCCACTGCATCAAAAAACTATATAGTGCAAATCGAATTTGGAGTTTCATATCAGGTCCAAGAAACTATCACCAGAAGATACCAGAAGCAACTTTAAATGGACGTTCGCAAGGATGGATCATGGACATTCAGCGGAAACCTGAGATGAAGACACGAAAAAACTCACTGCGCTTGGAATCGGCTAGATCACTCAGCCTCTTCACCCACCTTGCTTGAGTTCAGAAGCAAAACACAAGCAATCTTGATGGGACATCAATTCATTCGCCTAGACCTAGACACCAGCGAGGCGGGGGTCTACCTCTCGGCGCCGTACTTCCCGCCCGTACCCCTCCGACATTCAACTGTCCTTGCCTTGGAGATCTTGGAGGTTTCCGAGGGTGACCCCTTGGTGTTTGCAATCTTGCATAATATCTCTTGAACAAAACATTGACATTCACAGGATTTTCACATCGGTTTGGTTCATGCGGATTCTCATTGAAGGATACTGTATTCGCTGTGAAACGGCTGGAACGAGCTCCTTTGCGGCCCAGGCATGTTCCAAGAGTCTCAAGCTGAAGGCATCACCATAACACAAATGTCCGGAAAACCGAGTCAGCCACAAAAACAAAGAGCTGTTGCTTCTGCTTGTCGTAGGCCTGTTCAAAGCATGAATAAAGAGGCGCGTGACTTCAAGGCCGTACAGGCAGCAAACACCCCAACTAACCCTGGTTGCCTCCTCGCTTCGCTTTTGCATCGCTGTCCTCCCCAAGCAAAGCCATGCATGTCTTGACTTCCACAAGGCCTGGTGATATGCACTAAAATAGGAGCGCCAACATTAGGGCTCTTCGGCCAAGATTTGCGAGGTGTTGATCCTTGGCCTTCTCTTGAAGCGCACTTTTCGGAGTGCGCAACGTTGAACCCTTGATAAGGTCTGCAACACATGAAACTCCCAACATTCTTGAGTGAGCTTGGGCATCCCCTTGTGCGCAAGGGGAAAAAAGAACTGCAGCAAATGGGCCAAAGAAATGAAGCAGTCCTTGCCCTTGCTGCTCTGGCTCGGGCATTTTCGGCGCCCTCAGGAACAAGGAAGGTAGTTGAGTAACTGTTTGTTGATTCTTTCCTTGGATCAAGTGATGGCAAACTGATTTCAAGATTGACAAGCTCTATCTACTAAACAATCAATGCACTAAACAAACCCCACATCTCCTGAATCCACTGTCGATCCTCCTCAGTCAGCTGCGCCTTGCAAACAAAAACCGTTCAATCCATTTTAATACTTGTCTTGTATGAGAATGTCTGCGTCCGTCATCGACAAATATGACGGGCTTAGACCCCAAACAGTTTCAGCAGGATTTTTGTTGCGTCAATTCCTTGAAATCCAAAACGTCTGCAAATATATTCCTATAGCCTCCAGCTGTTTGGGAACAGCAAAACAAACAATCGAGGATGATGTCCCGTTCTGCATCGTTGGATTGATAGAAAACACCTGGACAAGGCCCGGACAAGGCCCGGACCAAGGCGGAGAAAACAGGGCGCGTGGCGCGGCCAAGCAGGACACACAAATCCGGACCAGGCTTGGACAAGGCCCGGTGTGCGGCCAAGCAACACACAGACCGGCCTGAAGCAAGACAAACAAACCGGACAAAGGACAAAGCCTGGACAAGGCCCAAACAAGGCTGTGAAGAAAGGGCTGACAGCGCAGCCACGGCAATCGTGGCCAGCCATTTCTTCCTAAGAGAACCCAACAGTAAACCGCTCGCAATTAGGTTGGAGGCCATCCCTATTAGGTTGGAGGCCATCCCTACTAGGTTGGAGGCCATCGCTCTTGGGTCGGAGGTTATCGCTACTAGGTTGGAGGCCATCGCATCTAGGTTGGAGGCCATCGCTCTTAGGTTGGAGGCCATCGCTCTTAGGTTGGAGGCCATCCCTACTAGCTTGGAGGCCATCGCTACTAGGTTGGAGGCCATCGCATCTAGGTTGGAGGCCATCGCTCTTAGGTTGGAGGCCATCGCTCTTAGGTTGGAGGCCATCGCTCTTAGGTTGGAGGCCATCGCT